GTTTCAGGCCTCTTTACCTCTGCCTTACCTAGAGATGCCAGGGATTGATTGACGGATTTGATATCCGGCTTTATCACTACCCGAAGGAGTCTCAAAGCGGCTAACATTCTCCTTTCCCTTCCTCCCCCACAACAAACACTCTGTGAGGTGAGTGGGGCTGAGAGACTTCAGAGAAGTGTGACTAGCCCAAGGTCACCCAGCAGCTGCATGTGGAGGAGCGGAGCCTCGAACCCGGTTCACCAGATTACGAGTCCACCGCTCTTAACCACTACACCACACTGGCTCTCAAGCTGGTGGGTGTGGTTCTCTCCCCACCCTCACTGAATCCCCACAACAACCCTGCGAGGAAGGGTAGGCTGAGAGGCAGTGAACAGCTCAAGGTCACCTGGCTGAGTGGGAACTTGAACCCTGGTCCCCCACGTCTTAATGTGACACTCTAACCACTACACCACCCAGCATCTTCTGCATGCAAAGCAGGTGCTCTGTCACTAAGCTATGGCCCTTCCTTCAAAGGAGCAATCTGGCATGGGTAAAAGGGCCAGAATTTGGGTTTGGGGGTTTTCCCCCCCTCTGCAATGGCCTAGAAGGAGGCATTTCCCTAGGCATTCTGGGAAAAGTAATAGAGGAACAATCACCAAGGTGGTGGTTGGAATCAGAGCTGTTGAAGCCGGAGAACTGACGGAAACCCTCCACAATTAGCAAATGTCAACACCAAAGGGTCCCTCTCTGGGCTGCTGTTTGGTCCCGGGTTTTTGGTGGGTGTATCTGCAACACGTCATTAAAACCGCTGCCTCAGTCAAACTGTTATAAGCAGCCCAGTCCTGTGGAATATCCTGCTAGCAAGAAATTCAGTGGGCACCTTCTGTGCCAACTTTTAAACGCCTGCTGCTGAAAACCCTTCTCTTCTGCCGGCTATTAAGAATACGTCCTTCCACTATGGTTTAACTGGTTTCTGTTTTTAACTTTCTGAATGGTTTTTGTCATTTGGTTTTACATTTTTTATCACGGTACTGCTTTGATATTATTTGTTACGCTGCAGCAGTATACAAATATTTAAAAAATAAATGTGACCGCCACACATCGCTCTCATCTGGAGGGGCAACCCTTGCGCTAATGCACAACAAAAACAGGACAGCAACACACACAGAGAGAGAGAGAGAGAGAGAGGGAGAGAGAGAGAGAGAGAGAGAGAGAGAGAGAGAGAGAGAGAGAGAGAGAGATGGGAAAGTTGCAGGGCATCACCAGGAAGTTACAGGACATGCACGGATTGGAAACGAAACAGCCTGCCCATCCCAAAACCATCGCAGGAGCAAAACAATATCGCCTATAAGCAACGTGATACAGGCACAGTAAAAAACAACAACCGGCTTCTGCCCAACTAAGTCTTCCTCAGAGTAGACCCAGTGAAATAAATTGTTCCACTACCACAAGCACTTCTGCTTCCCCTGACGGGATTATCTCCCCCCTCTCCCCCCCATACGCTGTCCTGGGGTTCTCCCAACGCCCCCCCCCAGAGTGGATTGGGGGAGAGGCACTGGGCGAAAGCTCTTGCTCTGGCTTCCGCAAGTGCATCTGATTAGATCAATCCCACGTTCCTATTTATAAGGTAAAGGTAAAGGTACCCCTGCCCGTACGGGCCAGTCTTGACAGACTCTAGGGTTGTGCGCCCATCTCACTCAAGAGGCCGGGGGCCAGCGCTGTCCGCAGACACTTCTGGGTCACGTGGCCAGCGTGACAAGCTGCATCTGGCAAGCCAGCGCAGCACACAGAACGCCGTTTACCTTCCCGCTAGTAAGCGGTCCCTATTTATCTACTTGCACCCGGGGGTGCTTTCGAACTGCTAGGTTGGCAGGCGCTGGGACCGAGCGACGGGAGCGCACCCCGCCGCGGGGATTCGAACCGCCGACCTTTCGATCGGCAAGTCCTAGGTGCTGAGGCTTTAACCCACAGCGCCACCCGCGTCCCACTCGTTCCTATTTATATCTGCCCTTTATTAAGAATCATGAGGACCAGCACCTCGCTTTGTTTTTAAAGGAAGTGGCAGACCCTGAAAACGGGGGGAGGGGGGGAGGTAAGTAAGGAACCAGTCTCTCAGGCCTGCACTGCATGCATTTAGAAAAGCCTAAAACAGCAAAGCGTGGAATACTGTATTGGCCAGAATATAAGCCTCACTTTTCCCCCAAATTCCAACTGTGAAAAGTTAAAGTGCAGCTTATATTCGTGACCTTACGATATGCAGCCAGGAGCACAGCAAGGCGGCACCTGCCCTATGCGTAGTCCCCCATCCTCTCCCCCAAGGCTGGGAAGGGACAGAGCGAGGAAGAGAAAAGGCCGCCATCAATTTTAAAGGTGCGGCTTATATTCGGGTGCGGCTTATATTCAGGCCAATACGGCATATTCCTTGCAGAAATCAATCCCCGCCTTCCCTTTCCCACACCAGCAAAACTGATGCCAAATGTTTGATCAGGCCTGGATGAGAACCCTGCCAAGAGGCAGGCAGGATGGGCGGAATCTGCCAAGCAGCTGGATCCAGTCCCAGAGACCACCAGTTACCCGTCAATCCGGGAGCAGCGAGGAGGGGACATTTTGCTATAAAATAAGAATGTCCCTCCATTGGACATGAGCTCCGAGTTCAGTAACTGCAAGTTTCTGAAGAATGCCTGCATGCGAGTTGGAGGCAGGGGAGAGATAATGAAAAACAAACAGTGTGCTGCTGCTGCTTCTGGTATGTTTAAAGCTCCTTCCTGAACTCTCCAGCTGGTCCTTCCAGACTAATAGCCAGGAGAAGCTATTTGCCTTTACATCCCAGGGGGTGAGCTCTGGAGTTGATATCAGCAGAACAGCAACTCTGTGTGTTGTCTGTGTTGTGATTCTGCATCCCTGGTGACCTCAGGTTTTTCAAGCAGCTGGTCTCTCAAACCCAGAAGGGCATAATGAGCAATCCCCCTAAATTGGATTTCCCTGACCTGGTGCACTCCAGAGGTTCTGGATGGCATACAACTGCCATCAGCCCCCAAGTGGCATGGCCAATAGTCATTCAATGAGTCTGGTATCATGAACAGAAATAACAGGGGAAGTCTATGGCGCCAGGGTCATTCCAGTGGCATTTCCCGCCCTCCTCGCTGGTCTTCCCTGATGTTTTCCTTTGGCGTTTCCCTGCTGGGCAGCCAAACCCACCAATGACCTCTAAGGCATCAGAGTGGAGCCCAAGTTTAGTGCTCAGTTCCATGTTACCATATTTTTCGCTCTATAAGACGCACCAGACCACAAGATGCACCTAGTTTTTGTAGGAGGAAAACAAGAAAAAAAAATATTCTGAATCTCAGAAGCCAGAACAGCAAGAGGGGTCACTGTGCAGTGAAAGCAGCAATCCCTCTTGCTGTTCTGGCTTCTGTGATAGCTGCACAGCCTGCATTCGCTCCATAAGACGCACACACATTTCCCCTTACTTTTTAGGAGGGAAAAAGGGAGTCTTATAGAGCAAAAAATACGGTATTTGCTTCCAGGAAAAAGTAACTTGGAAACGAGCGCCGAAGTCATGCGACTTTCTGCTATATTTCTGGAAGTGGTTTTTATGTCTTACGAAAGTTCAGGTGTGATGCGGAAACCAGCAGCTGGGCGAATGGTATAAACTGCCCTTTGACTGCTGCCTAAGACTATTAACCCTGGAATCTAAAATCATCTAGATGCACCAAGTTTGTCACCAAATATGGGGGTAAACTTAGATAGCTCAAAGCTTACCCACCGCCAACAGTTAGAAACACCCATGTAGGGCAGGACTATCAGTGAAGATGCATGATGATCATTTGATGGAGCTTCCAGGTCCATCAGAGCTGGGGAACCTGTGGTCCTACAGATGTTGTTGGGTGACAGCTCCCAGCATCCTAAGGACAAGCCTTGCTGACTGTGGCTGATGGGAGGTGGAGTCCAACATCTGTGGGTCCACAGGTTCCCTACCATAGATGTATAGAGACACTTCTCAGCACCACAAGGTGGGACACAAAACAAAAAAGAGGAATTTGCACTGGCTGCCTAATAGCCACCAAGTCACTTTTAAGGTTCTGCTATTTACATGCAAAGCCTTAAATAAATCTGGACCAGGTCCCCTGAAAAACCATGCTCCCTTCCACTGCTCAATGAGGGCACTGTGATCAGCAAATGTGACCTGGTTAGTTTTGCCATGGCCTGCTGATAATCAACTCACCGAGACGCAAAGGCAGGCTTGTTTAGTGGTGGCACCACTGTTGCAGAACACCCTCCCTGCTGCAATGCAAGAGACGCCATCAGTATTGGCATTCTGCCGGCTCCTGAAGACACACCTGTCTAGGAAAGCAATCCCTTGAACTGGAACTTCTGATCTTGTTGTTATAGCCGTTTTCATTGTCATGCTTTTTATGCAATTGGCATGGCTTGTGTAATTTTAAATTAGGAGTGTTTTTAAGGTTTATGTGGACTTGTTTTATTGCATGCTTTAATTATGTGTGTATTTTATTGTTGTAGAAGCCATTTTGGCCTAAAAATGGCACATGAATTGATAAACAATAAAAAAACAACAACACCAAGCACCTAGTGACCTCAGACTAGCTTCTGCAGGACTAACCAGAAATAGACAGCCTGTGGTTTTCCAGATGTTCTTGAATTCCAACTCCCAGCCCCAGCTGATGTTCAGGAGTAGATCTGGAGGCCCCCCAGGCTCTGTTCCCCTGGACTGCATAGACCAGTTGCTTTAGATATTAAATTGTATGCATGTGTGCTGCACATGATGGGAACGGACCAGAGCCAACTAATTCTAGTTTCGTCCCCATCCTCTTCCCTGCCGAGTCCCACAAGGGGCACCACTGAGCCTGAGGAGGAGGAAGCTGGCACTGGATGGAAGGAAGAAGGCAGGCCAGGGAGACCTGGCTGAGGGCAGACTGAGGTTGGTAGGGCAGCACCCATCTGCCCTAACGGACCAGCAGGAAACGCAACCGCGAACAAAGCAAGCCAAGACCCCTTCTCACCTTGCAATTGGGCCGAAAGCACCTCCTGTTGCTGCTTGTATTTCAAAGCCAAGGCTTCTGCGGACTTCACCTTCTGCTGGAGGTGGTTGTACAGGAAAGCTCCGGATGCCAGGCAGGCCACGGCCACTAGGCAAAACCCAGTTTGCAAGAGGCCCTTTTGCCTCCTGGTGCACAGCCCAGTCCCCATCCCGGGAGCTTCCTTGCCAAAGGATTTATTTTTTTACTTTTCTTCGCCGCTGTACCATCTGGTCCGAGTTTTTGTGAGCACCCAAGAACAGCAGCTTGCCCTCTTTCCGAACGGCCAGTCCGTTGAAATAACAATAATAATAATGGTCTTTCTTTAAATTCTCCCAGATGGAGGAGGCTCCTTCCTTTTCCTCTTCTCTTTACAGGACCAGGCTGGCTTAACAATCCTCATAGTCAGTGAGAAGGAATAGAGGCTGGGGCAAAGGGCAAGCTCATCTCTTCCCAGCTAGAAACTGCTGGGGTTTGAAAGAAGCCCCAACAATAAAAAAAAAACCCCTACCAGAGATTGCACCGTTTTATTCCATCTCCTTCCGCTGTTTCCTTTCTTCTCGAGTCCAGGTGTGTGCGCGTGCACAGGAGAAAACTTTTTCTTAAACTTCCTTTTTCCTTGTGCTGTAGGAAGCGGGGTGGGGGATTTGGGAAGTGGAGCGCAAAGCACGGAGGACTTTCCCAGGTTTAAGGAAGTTCCTTTCCCGCCCAGCCCCCTCGCCCAGCCCAGCAGCTACACGCGCAACACTAGGGGGCAGTTTATCATCGCAAGCTGCCCTCTCCCTCCCCTGATAAACTTGCAAACAATCTTAACACGGAGAGAGGAAGCCGAAGCAGGATCCCCAAGGGAAGCGTGGAAACGGACCAGGAAACTGACCGCAGGATTTGCAGGCGGCTGCAAAAACATTGACTCCTTTCTGGTCTCCTTTCCTCCGGACTCTCCCTCCTCCAACTTGAAACGGGGTGGCGGTGGTGGGAAGGATCGGCTGGGGAGGTGGAGGAAGGATCCGAAAGGAGGAGGAGGGCAATTTTGCGATATGCAGAGAGAGAGAGAGAGAGAGAGAGAGAGATTGAGAGAGGTGGTTGGCGGCGGTGGAAGGAGGATGCGGAGCTGGGCGGAGCTGAACTAGGAAGGAAAGGGGGCGGCGGTGGGAGCATCAGGGGAAAGGGGAGGGGGTGGAGGGGGAGGGGAGGGGAGAGGCGGGGGAGGAGCCGGAGGAATAAGATCCCAGGGATCGCCAAAGAGCAGGGTTGCAATGGAGCGGGGTGTGCTTTGCGCGCGGGGCGCACGAGACTGTCAAGCCCGTTGCGCGCTCACTCGGAAGCAAGCCCGCTGACCAGCCGCCGGGGATCGCTGCTGAAATCCGGCTCAGTGGCGCGGTTAGGGGATCGCAGATCCCTCGCGCCCTTCCTAACCTTGGCTGTGCCGGCTCCCCAAGATCCCTGGAAACTACCTCTTGTTCTGTGTTGGTGGGAACTGTAGCAATGCGAGGGGTAAACTATAGGTCCCTGGGTTAGTGTGCTGGGAGAGTCTGTGGCAGAGAGCAGTCCAGAAGCAGGTGAGGATGGGGGCCAAGAGGCAGAGATGAGTCAGGCTGGCGAAGAGTCAGGGGTGTCTCTCCCACCTGCTGCCACAAGATCCCTCCTCACTTGTCTCCCAGAACCAGAAGAGGGCTGAAATGGGCAGAGCAGCAGCAGGCTTGCATGCAGGCCCAGTCTCCGATTGCTTGGGGAAAGCCCTGGAAAGGAAAGCACTTAGGTGGCTGTGAGGAGGTGGGGACTTTCAGTCTCAGCAAATGATTTTCCTGGAGGAAATCCAGAATGAGCTACTCTGCTCATTAGGCCTGACACTCAGCCATAGCTGCAAAGATTGTGTTTTTTTGCTAATAAAGAGTTAACTCCAACTTTGAACAGTGTGATTTGCTGCCGGCTCACTCTTTGACACTGCCTGCCCTCTCTTTAGTCCCAGGGTTTCCCCTTGTAGAACTTGGCAAGGAGGAGGCGGCCAAAACTGGTATTACTTGGATCTGCCTGTCGTTGGCTCTGGTGTCACCTACTGCTGGACTCCCTGCCTTCCACCCAAGGATGGGCAGCTGCTACAGGGATGTTCTGCCTCTGTGCAAAGAGCTTACAGTTCCTTTTCCCCCTGCAAGGCTTTATTTTAACCCAAAAAACACTTTATACATCAGGCATAGGCAAACTCAACCCTCCAGATGTTTTGGGACTACAACTCCCATCATCCCTGACCACTGGTCCTGTTAGCTAGGAATGATGGGAGTTGTAGTCCCAAAACATCTGGAAGGCCAAGTTTGCCTATGCCTGCTATACATCCTCAAATGAACTCTTAAGGAAATCGCCATCTTGGAGAATCCTCAGTGCCCATTAGGCTTATTACAGACATGACTCATGGAGCTGCTACTTTACATATGATATTTAACTACTTAATTGGTGGAACCTCCAGCTCAGCAGTCCCGTGTGGCCCTCCAGGCCTCTCTCTGCGGCCCTCAAGACTCTCCCCAGGCCACACCCTTTTCACCTTCCTTGAGCATCCTTACCTGGCTGGAATGTACCCTTGAACTCTTGCTTGCCTGGACAGAAGTAAATTTACCTTTGTGGCTCCACCTCCTCCTTTTGCTTCTGGCTCTGCCCACCCCTGGCATGTGGCCCCCAGAAGATTTCCTGGAAGGGAATGTGGCCCTTGGTTTGAAAAAAAAGGTTCTCCACTCTTATGCTACATAATAAACATTACTATTGTTGTTAGTTATTTCGATGACACACACGTCATGGGAATCAAGAGCGGCCAGATTGATTTGAGGCACTGTAACTTTTGCATAATGGGAAGCGGGTGGCGCTGTGGGTATACCATAGAGCCTAGGACTTGCCAATCAGAAGGCCGGCGGTTCGAATCCCCATGACGGGGTGAGCTCCTGTTGCTCGGTCCCTGCTCCTGCCAACCTAGCAGTTCGAAAGCACGTCAAAGTGCAAGTAGATAAATAGGTACCGCTCCGGCGGGAAGGTAAATGGCGTTTCCGTGCGCTGCTCTGGTTGGCCAGAAGCGGCTTAGTCATGCTGGCCACATGTCCCGGAAGCTGTACGCCGGCTCCCTCGGCCAGTAAAGCGAGATGAGCGCCGCAACCCCAGAGTCGGCCACGACTGGACCTAATGGTCAGGGGTCTCTTTACCTTTAACTTTTGCTTAGCACCCCGTGTTCTGATATTCTCCCACCCTCCACCCCCACCTCTTTCTCACGGGGTCTTTGCAACAGTCCAAGTTCCTTTGCAATGGGATCGATACCGACGCAGACCTGAAACCAGCCTCTCTGCAAGAAAAGAGAGAGGCAATCAATATTTCAGAATGGCTATGAGGTGGGTCCAGATAGGCATATTTATAGCTAGACTGTTGTATTTTGCTTTTTTAAAAAAAAATATATCCCAGTCTCTCCATCCCCTTTTCAAAGCCAAAAGATGGAGCATTTCTCTGTGAGATGGAAATTCTTGCTGCGTCTGGCCAAATGGGCACTCTGGCTAATAGGCTAGAAGCAGAGAGTGGAGAGGCTGTTTGGGCCACCCACGCAGCTAAGAATAGCTTGGAGCTGGAGGGAGGAAAGCCCATCTAGACCCAAGTTCCATTTGCAGAAAGCCTCTGAGACAGAGATGGATGGACCTGTTTGTTTCCGTTTCTCTCGTTTCCTCAACCTTTAAATTCAGCTCTTCACGTCTACAGTGGCACCTCGGGTTACATACGCTTCAGGTTACACACTCTGCTAACCCAGAAATAGTGCTTCAGGTTAAGAACTTTGCTTCAGGATAAGAACAGAAATTGGGCTCCAGCAGCGCGGCGGCAGCAGGAGACCCCATTAGCTAAAGTGGTGCTTCAGGTTAAGAACAGTTTCGGGTTAAGAATGGACCTCCGGAATGAATTAAGTACTTAACCTGAGGTACCACCGTATTATTATTATTATTATTATTATTATTATTATTATTATTATCATCATCTGTTACATTTATATGCTAGCCTTTCCTCCAGGGAACTCAAGATGGGGTGTGAGGTTCTCCCCTCCCTGTTTGACCCTCACAACAACCCTGAAAGGTAGGTCAGGCTGAGAGAAGGGGAATGGCTTAAAGTCGCCCAATGTGCTTCATGGCCGAGTGAAAATTTGAACTCGGGTCTCCTCGTCCGGTGCTCTTAACTGTTACATAACACAGGCTCTCCCTTTGTTGCAGCGATTTCTGGTTTTCACTTTTTAAACCTACATGAAAATTGGTCAGTGTTTTAGTGCAAGTTTCTCCCAATATGCACACGTTTCTGTACTTGTTTATTTTACAAAATTGTATATACACTGCTTGATTGTCGTAAAACCTCTGAGGAAAAATTAAAATGATTGATCAAAACTGTTAAAACCAATTAAAGGCCATTTAAAGACAATTAATATTTTTAAAATGAGATTAAAACTACCTCTGATATTAAAATGATCAATAAAAACTGTTGAAACCAATTAAAGGCCATTTAGAGACAACATTTTTTAAATGAGATTAAAACTTGTCAACATCTGCGTCTCTTAGCTTTTGATCTCCAGATTAATTTTGAGATAACCTGGTCAACACATGTTCTGCACATTTCTTCCTCAAGAATATTTCTTCTCTAAGCCAATGCTTTTGATGTACTCAAGCATGGAATACTAATATGTCATCTGAATAGTGACATCTAGGAACTCTACAATTCTAGGAATTTGTGTGCTTTTTTATTTTTTATGTTTCCCCTTTCTTTTCTTTCTTTTTTCTATGTGTTTTTTTGATATACGTAGCAGTGTGTTCATATGTGTATGACAATCACTGATATTTTAAGGGATGTGGAGGGAATTCAATTCAGTGGTCCAATCTGTTCATTTCAATTTCTGCCCATCTCTCTGTTTTTCTACTCTTAACTCCAGCTGTCCATATTTTCACGTCAATTTGCAAATTTATTTTTTTAAGTCCTCGTGGAAACCCAAAGGCATTTTAGTACAAACTTCTGCCGATCTACACATTTGTGTATTCAATTCTGCCACACACATGTATCGTTGCAAAGCAATTTCCCCCAAACAGAATGCGTTTCTGTATATTATTTTCACTACTTATATGCATTTTAAGGCCTACTTTACCCCAGTACAATGCAGCTCTTTTACACTCATAACTTAGGCTGGAGTCGCTGGCACTGAAAAATTCAGAGAAGTACAAAACTGGACTGTTTTCCTGTTCCGTTACTGTTTGGAAAGTACAGGTTAGGTAGATTTGCTTTAAAATGCCAGCTGTTTCCAATTTCCCCTCCAACCCACGGAACGACGGCCGCTGAGATCGTGGGATCCTTCCTAGAGGCAAAAGATTCCTGCACATCCAGTGGGGTTGGACTAGATGACCCTCCGGGTCCCTTCCAATTCTAGAATTCTAATGTCACGGCAAAGCACACCCACACACCATTCCAAGCTCACCTGCAGCTTGTTAAGAAAAGTCAGCGGAGGTCCAGTCTGAGTCATCAAACAAGAAGCCATTTCTCTCTTAAGATATGCGAGGGCACTTCTCAGCTGCTTTATAACCCAGCGCAGACATTCTGCATTTTGATTAGGAGCAAGGAAAATTCCCAGCTCCTGATGGTAATAAAGAACAGGTCTGAGGAAAAAACAAAGTCAGATACAGGCTCTTTGCAGAGGCTGCAGCAGTGGCGTAGCGTGGGGGGTGCAGGGGGGGCCGGCCGCACCGGGCCGCAACATCTGGGGTTAGGGCAAATCCACGGGTTAGGGGGCGCAAATGCACGGGTTAGGGGGCGCAAATGCACGGGTTAGGGGGCGCAAATGCACGGGTTAGGGGCGCAAATTACTTGCCTTGCCCCGGGTGCTGACAACCCACGCTACGCCACTGGGCTGCAGGACCTGTGTTTTCTCCCAGGGATGGGGAGATGGCACGCTTGGGCAGCTGCTGAGACCAAAAACACCCCTGCAGTGTTGGGCAGGGACACTGCTGACCCCGGGAGCCTGCTGCTGCTGAAAACAGAAAGAGCTCCAGTAAATTAGCAAAAATGTATAAAA